CCCTCTCCCTCCTCGCGTTCTGCCATCTTCTTCTGCGACTCTTCCTCCTCTCCCCTCCTCCCCCTCCTCCTCCTCCTCCTCCTCCTCCTCCTCCTTCTCCTCCTTCTCCTCCGCCTCATCCTCCTCCTCCTCCGCCTCTTCTCCTCCTCCTCCATGTTCCTCTCCTCCCCTGTCTTCTCTTTCTTCGCCTCTCCCGTCCTCCTGCTCATTCCTCCGCTCCTCCTCACTTCTTCCTCCTGCCCTCCCTTCCTCCGTGATATCCGATATTGCGAACAACATACAATATCGTGAATAATTACAGCCAAACCTTAAACCCCATCTTTCTGCAACATTTTCCGAGCCAGATCGATCCGTGATGGTCCCCGGGGCCCGAAACCTGGCGCAAATGCCCAGCGTGAAAGAATTTTAATCGCCCAGATCTTAGGGCTTCTCCTCCGAAAGCTCCTCCTTCTTCTCCCCCTCCTCCTCCTCCTCCTCCTCCTCCGCCTCCTCCTCCTCCTCCTCCTCCTCCTCCTCCTCCTCCTCCTCCTCTTCATTCCCTCCTCCCCACTGGAGGAACCAAAAGACTCTGATACCGCTCCTCCCCGGACCTCTCCCCGCGTGCGTTCTGACCAGAATTTCGATGCGAATCCAGCCGTGGCGACGAGGGTCTCCCAGGAGGCCGAAAAAGGCGAAAATGGGGGCAAGGGTAGCGGTATCCTGCCTCGTTATGTAAGACGATGACACTGGAAGCTCCACGCTGCTCCGGAGCAGGCTTTGCTGTCAGCAAAGGGGGGGGAGGAGGGGAGAAGCAGGCAAACGACAACGAACGCGCAGGCGGGAGGCCGGGGCTGGCGGGGCGGGCAGGCAGGCAGATGGGGCCGGGCGGGGACAGCAGGCAGGGAGCAGGAGGAAAGGCAGGGAGGCACGGAAGGGCAGGATAGGGGAAGCAGCCGCAAGCAGACAAGGCAGGAAGCAAAAGGAAAGGGAAGATGAGGGGCAACGTTAGACGAAAATGGGGCAGGGTAGCAGTATCGGTGCCGTCTCCTCTTCTGATCTCCTGCGCCTTCCTCTCTCTGCTCCAGCCTGTGCGGCCAGCGGCCCCTGGCCAGATCTGAGCGCTCCTCCCACTCTTCCCCCCCCCCTCCTCCTTCTCCTCCTCCTTCTCCTCCTCCTCCTGCCACTCTTCCCCCCTCCTCCTCCTCCTCCTCCTCCTCCTCCTCCTCCTCCTCCTCCTCCTCCCCACTCTTCCCCTCGTCCTCCTTCCCCTGCTCCCTCCTCCCTCTGGGAGTGCCTGTGCGGCCAGCGGGCCCTGCCCGCGGTACTCGTCCGGAGGCCTCACCTCGTGGTGGAACACAAAGTCCTGCAGCGAGAAGCGCCCGGACCGCAGCCTCTCCGCGTGCTCCTCTGAGAGGGGAGGGGGGAGGAGGAGGAGGAGGAGGGAGGAGGAGGAGGAGGAGGATGAGGAGGAGGAGGAGGGGGAGAGGAGGAGGAGAGGAGAGGGGGAGGAGGAGGAGGAGGAGGAGGAGGAGGAGGAGGAGGAGAAGCGCCCGAACGTTTGGGGGGGCATCGACCTCGAGAGGCGGGCAGCGTCTGCGCGGTGCTCCTCTGAGAGCTCGCCGAACGGCGACTCACCTCCCTTCCTCCTCCTCCTCCTCCTCCTCCTCAATCCTCGTCCTCCTCCTCCTCCTCGTCCTCGTCCTCATCCTCCGTCCCTGTCGAGCACTCAGACGTGCCCGTAGGGCAACCCGCCTGACACCTGGAATCGGCGATACGTCGTCGATAAATCGGCGAGAAGCTCTCGATGTTTGATTGGCCCCGAGGGGGGTCCAGCTGAAAGGGGGTGGTGCAATAGGTGCGGGGCAATTGAATTGCAAATGTACTTCGCCGGAGAATTGGATTGCAGTGTATTGCAACCAATGTACTGTACTCGAAAATCCAGCAATACATTTGCGCACCGGAATGTATTGCACGCCCCAAACCTAATGCAACCCCACAAATCTACTGCACCAGATCTACTGCACCACCCCCTTTTCGCTGGACCCCCTTTTGAGCCAACCAGACGATAGCACATCCCCACGTTCCTGAGCGGGGTGGGGCCATCGGGCCAGGGGCTCGGTTCGCCTAAAGAACGCCCTGGGCGTGTTTTTAGCGTGTTCTACTTTGGGCTCTTGACAGGCTGAAGACGCTAAAACAGGCTACGTTGTTTGAGCCTTTTTTAGGGCAGTTGTTTCGGCGTGTTTCCCTTCTTTTTTCAACTGCGTTGATGTTTTTCTGCACCTTCAGGCTGAAAACGCTAAGACAGTGTCTGAAAACGCTGCAACAGCGCATCATCTGTTTTAGCGTTTTTATATTAGTTTTGTGGTTGAGACCTGCAGGCGCGAAACAAACGATTTCCACGATGCCGGACCGAAAACGCCAACAAAAACGCCCTGGGCACATTCAAAGCAAATCAAGGCCAGGGGCCCCTATCAACAATGGGTGGAAGATCGGGGTGCGTCCGCCCCTAGGCTCAAGTTGGGCAAGGCCCCCCTACAAGCCGATCTTCGACGAAAAATCAAACATACGCAAACGATGCTCCGAAGTTGTCGAAAAATGCTGCGAGAAAAATCGTCTCCATACTATCTTTTGACTATTTTTGGATATTCCTCCAGTAGAGGGACAGGCCCGACTTCACCCTAGGCCAATCCCCCCTGTCGTTGCCCCTGACTCCTGCAGGTACGCCTTCACCGGCGACAGGTCGCCACCGGACCGGAAGAACGTCTCGAGGGGGGAGGGTGGCGAAAGAGCAAGACACGCTCAAGGGGGGGCGATGATGACGATGGTGATGAAAAGAGGAACTACACATGTCGATGCAAGAAATCCGCGCGGAGCTCCGACAGTTTATGTTTATGTCATGTTGTTCCTCGGCGAACCCAAACCTATACGGCGAAGGCATCTGATGAGGAACCCTTGGATAAGGAGTCCAGGGTCTGGGAGCCGGTGAAACAGCACCTGAGGCTTGGCCGTGGATATCACCACCGCCCCCACAAGATAAGGAATCCTGCAGGATTGGACGCCTCCTGGGCACACTCATCAACGAACGCCCCCGGCGTAAGGCGCTATGGGTATGGGTGCGAGCTGTCGGTCTCCGAGGTGGCTCCCGTTCGAGCGAGGGCCCCCAGCCGACAGCACAAACCTATAGCGCCCACCACCCCTGGAGGACTTCCCCCCGAGAAATCTGGAGGTCGCACGAGTATGGGGGCGACAAGGAGAATCAGACCCAGGCGCGCTCGCGTCGTGAAAAAACACGATGGACAATGTTTGCCCTTTTTCGGCCTCGTGAGGCCGTCAACAATGACTCAGGCTGAAACACCAGCCACACGGAACGAGTCGGGACTTCGGCAACACAGTAATGAACGAGTCAAGACATCGGCTGTCTGGGGAGGAGGAGGAGGAGGAGGAGGGGGAGGAGGAGGAGGAGGAGGAGGAAGAGGAGGAAGAGGAGGAAGAGGAGGAGACGGCAGCGGTGCATATGGGGGCAGACGCACCTGGCGCTAGGCTTGCGCCATCAAAGCAGCCGCTGGCGTGGGCCCAAGTGCATGCTGAGGCGGAGGAATTTCGACATCAACCGCTTGCTTCCCACACGCCTCAAGGGAGCCTCGTAAGAGTCGCTGCGTCGCGGCACACTGGTCGCGGCGTACGGTCTCGATGCCTTGTTTGAGATCTGGGCGTTGCAACTTGTTCACACCGGGCGATCTTCGCCCCAACGCGGGTCCCTGGAACATCACGGATCGATCCCGGGCTCGAAGCATGCCGCAGAGACACGGCGAGAGAGATAGGGCCTGTAAGGACCTGGCCGTGCTTTTCTGAAAGAAGCAAAATGCCGCAAATATAAACTTTTGGCGCTCCGCGCGGATTTTCTGGATCTGCGCTGGACCCCCCTCCCTGGCGCACGGAGCGCGTTCGGAGCGGCGCCGGAGTCGCCGCCAGTGGGGCCCAGTGCGGATCCAAGAAGGCCGCATTGAGCGCCCAAAATTTATATGTTTATGTAGTTTTTGTTCTTCTTCGGCCCCGAGGCCCGGCGCGGGCCCCTGGAGGCCGAAAATGGCGAAGAACCTCCCGTCACGATTTTTTTTCGCGACGCGACGGGGTCTGGGGAGATGGGGCCTGTAGGGTCATGTCGGGCCTATCCCCCTACAGGGGATTTTCGACGAAAAAATCAAAAATACCCCCAAAATACCCCAAGAAGTTGAAACAATACTAAAAGCATAATCCCCAGACTATTTTTGGATTTTTTATATTAAATACTATTTTTGGGGTATTCTTTTCGTCGAAAATCCCCCTGTAGGGGGACGGGCCCGACTTAACTGTAGGGCTCCGGCCGTGCTTCCCCGCGATGCTGCGCGTGCTGCGCAGCGCCCGATCCCAGGGCCTTTCGCGTCGAACACCGGCGCGGCGTCTTCGGGCGCCTGCCACGCGTGCCCGACGTAGCGCTTCTTCGAGACCAGGCAGCACGGGTAATACACCTGTAGGCTTAAGTCGGGCCTGTCCCCCTGGATTTTCGACGAGAAATAGAACATACCCCCAACATAATCAAAAAAATAATCAAACAATAATCAGGGGATTTTTTTTTGTAGTTTTTGATTTGTCTGGTGCATTTTTGGGGTATTTTCTATTTTTCGTCGGAAATCCCCCTGTAGGGGGACAGGCCGGACTTATCTGTAGGCGGCGCGCTCGGGGGACAGCTGCCGGGCCCAGTGGCCGTCAACCGCGGAGCGCCCCGGACGAGAAACTGACCGAGCGCCCCCGAGATCAATCAATCCCAGCAAGGAGATGCTGAACTTCGAGATTCCGGAGGGAGGAAAAAAAAAGTTGCCCTGGCGAGCTGAAATTGTAAGACTGGGAACGCTGACATGGTGAGACTCCCATGGCCCCGCCACACGTTCGTGGCTTGGGAGAGGCTGACACGGTGAGAATCGGCGCCTCTGGGGCCGCGGACTGCGCCGGGTCTGCGCTGAGATCCGAGCTTGCGAAACCCGGCGGCGAGCCCGTGGGGAAAGTGAGGAGGGGTGGGCCTTTTCTAGAGGGACGAGAAGCGCCGCAAACACAAATTTTCTCCGCGCGGATTTCTTGGATCTGCGCTGGTCCCCCCTCCCTGGCGCGCGGCGCGCGCCTGGGGCGGCGCCGGAGGCGCCACCGAGGGGGCCCGGCTCGGATCCAAGAACATCGGTGTGGAGCGCCAGAAAGTTTATGTTTATGGTGTTTTCCTTCTTCGATTTCAAAAGGCTCGGAAGTCCCCAAGCCTCCTGACTGAAAAGTTTTCTAAGCCTTCCCCGGATGCACCAACAACACCTCTCGGAGGGCGCGAGGGCTTCTGGGAAGAAGCCCGCCGCCTTCCGAGAAGGTATTCTCCTTCTCACTTCCCCCCCTGAGCGCGCCGCCGAATATCTATCAAGTTCGGTCCCCGACCTCTCTCAGGGTCCATCCGACGCGGTCTCTCACCCCGGATCGAAGTTCGGGGGCCCCGGGACCTGAAAAAGCGGCCACCAGAGGCCGAGCACGAGGAAAAAACGCCTCGCATCTCGAAGTTCGAACCTCGAACTTCTCTCCTCGCTCGCCGCCGACTGCTGTTGGGAAGCCAGAAAGGTACCGATACCGTTCCTCCCCGCACCTCTCCCAGGGTGTGTTCTGAATATAATTTCGATGAATTTCGAAGCGAATCCAGCGGTGGCGACGAGAGCCGCCCAGGAGGCCCAGCGACGCATCGACGATACGTCGGCGATGTATCGGGGATGCATCGGCGATGCATCCCCGATGCATGGGCGACGCCAGCGCGGAGAAAATCGTGCCCGAAAAAATGGCCCCCGGAGACCGAACACGAGGAAACACCTCCTCGAACCCCGAACCTCGAAGCTCGAAGCTCGAACCTCCAACCTCGAGCACCGAAGTTCGAGCCAGAGGCCTGGAGCCCCAGACCTCGACGTTCGAAGCTCGAGCTTCCCCCGTCGCTCGCCGCCGAACCTTGTCCATCTGCAGCTCGACGGGGTGGGGGTTCTGCCGCGTGACCTCCCGCGCGATGCGGGCTCCCTGCTCGAAGGCCTCCTCCTTGGAGCGCCCGGGCAGATGCACGAACAGCGAGTCGGTGTCTCCATAGACGACCTCTCAGGAGGCGCCGCGGAGGGGGGGCAGGAAGGGCGGAGAGGAGGAGGAGGAGGAGAAGGAGGAGGAGGAGGAGGAGGAGGAGGAGGAGGAGGAGGAGGAGGAGGAGGAGGAGGAGGGGGGAGGAGAAGGAGGAAGAGTAGGGGGAGGATGAGAGGGAGGATGAGATAGGAGAGATGAGGATGGAGAGGAGAGGAGGAGGAGGAGGAGGAGGAGGAAGGATGAGGAGGAGGAGGAGGAGCGAACGTCCCCAAGGAGGAGGAGGAGGAGGAGGAGGAGGAGGGAGGAGGAGGAGGAGGAGGAGGAGGAGGATTGCAATGTAGTGCTGATGCCCTTAAGGGTCGGCACAACCCTTTGAATCGGATGGGGAGCTTGGGCTCTCCCACCCTTGAAGTAGGTGCTCGATGTGAAGGCTGGGGTTGCATACCTTCTGGTCCCAGAGCTTGGGGCAAGGACCGATGTTGGCACCTGGTGCTGGTGCGTGATACGAAGGTAGCGCATATCCTGTGGCAACCAGCTCTGCCTCGCAGCACCATGACCGGGGGGCAACGCATGTGGGGCAGACGTCCCAGCATGAGAGGACGACGAACTGTGGACCCAAGAATGACGTGAGTCAGCAATGTGTGTAAATGTGAGATGTCCCCCCCCCTGGGGGAACACAAGAAGGTACCGACGCCGCTGCTATCCGTAACGCCCCTGGAGAGCGTGCTGGCCGTGATTTCGGGGCGAGTCTCGCGACGAGGGGCGGGCAGCGGCATTGGGACGGCTTCTTCCTCCCCAGACAGTGTCGCTTTCGTCTGAGGGCCATCCGAAGATCGATGATCGCTGCAATATCGACCATCCAGGATCGAGGACAGATCGATGATCGATGAAAGATCGAAGATCGAGGATCGATGCAATATCGAAGATCGACGAAATATCGAAGTGCGATGATCGATGAAAGATCGAGCGTCCGGGATCGAGGATCCGGGACCGACCAGCGACCGGGGGGCGGTCGCTTCGCAAGACGCAGGTCCAATCTTCAGACGAGGGGGTCGCACTCCTCGCTGAGGGCAGCGTGAGGGGGCGATTGTCTCAGGGGGAGCATCGGGCTGGCATCGGCGATACGTCGCCGATGGATCGGGGATTCGGCCCCCCGATGACGAACCTGCACGCTCCTGGGTGGGATGGGCCACCAGTGGCTATCAGGCCCTGTCGGCGGCATGGGCGATTGGGGGTCAATGCATTCCCCCAGCGTCTGTCCCCTCCTCCTCCTCCTCCTCCTCCTCCTCCCTCCTCCCCTCCTCCTCCTCCTCCTCCTCCTCTCCTCCTCCTCCTCCTCCTCCCCTCCTCCTCCCCCCTCCTCCTCCTCCTCCCCTCCTCCTCCTCCTCCTCCTCCTCCTCCTCCCTCCTCCTCCTCCTCCTCCTCCTCCTGTCGGCGCTCCCTGGTCTTCGGGCCACACCTCGCCTCTCCGCCGGCCGCTCCAAACGCTCTGGGCCACCCCGGATCGCTCTCTCGGCGAGGCGTATCGCTGCGGGAGGCTGGAAGACCGCCCGAGGCCAACGCAAAAAGGTCCGAACACCTCCAAACTTTCACCTCGAGCCTCCTAGGTTGGGGGGGCCAGAAGGTACAATTTCAAGGCGAATCCAGCGGTGGCGACAAGGACCTCCCAGGAGGCCCAAGACGAAGACAACGAAGGAAGGGTAAGAGTATGGTATCTCTTCCTCCTCCGACGAACTCTGACCTCGAGTCTCCTGGGCAGTCCTCGCCTCCGCCCTCGTTGGACGCCCCCGAGTCTCCGCCTTTGCCACCTCGCTTTCCACAACGCATCAGTGTTATAGCGTTGACGGGAGGCAGCGCGTCTCTACGTAACAGTGATTTTGCTTGAGCTCGCTGAGCAAGCAAGGGTACAGTCAAGGTTGCAGAGTCTTGGCCGAGCATAAAACCATCGTCGCCAGAGCGTGTGTGTAGCCCATCCCCCGCCCTCGTTGGACGCCCCCGAGCCTCCGCCCCCGCCACCTCGCTCTCCACCCAGCGCACCGCCCGCTCCAGGGTGCGCCGCGCCGTCTGGACGATCGCGTCGGCGACCTCGACGCACGGCATCCGGCCGCTGAAGGACGCGGCCGTGTACCTTGGCGGCGCCCGCGTGGAGGTGGCGCGGGGGGGGGGGGGGGCCTCCTCCCTCCTCCTCCTCCTCCTCCTCCTCCTCCTCCTCCTCCTCCTTCTCCGCCCACGTGGAGGTGTCGCGGGGGGGGCCTGTCTAGCAGGGGCCGACCGTCCCGGCATTCTTCTAGGCCTACCACGACATGCTCATGAAACCCCATTATGTTCTCATAACAAAAGCCATGTTCTCAGAACGTGAGCCAGGTGTGATGAAGCAAGACAGAGAACATTTCGTGCACACGACATCAAATTTTCAGACCATTCTCGGGGGCGAGGAAGCATGGATCATTGATCCATGGATTTGGCGCGCGGTCGCCAAATCCATGGATCGGGGGAGGTGCTCTCTCCAAAACGTGGCTGGTGCCGCCTCGCTCGGCGGCAGAAATCCGCGATTTCCCATGGAAGCGGGACCCGGCACTAATCCACGCCCCCTCGATCCATGTTTGCGATCGCCTGACGCTCTTTGCAGGCAAGGCAAGGGCGGCGCTGGAAGAGCCGCTGGGGGGCCCGGGCGCGGATCCGAGAAATCCGCGCGGAGCGCCACAAGTTTATGTTTATGTGTTACATATGTTTATGCCTATAGTATGTTTATGTTTATGTCCATGTTATTTGTGTTTAACTATGCTTATGCTGTATTTTATGTGCTTGTTCCTTCTTCGAGGCCAGGCAGGACGCTGGAGCCTTAGGCGGGGGGGGGGACTTCCAAGAGGGCGCTGCGACTTCTCGGGCGCCCCTTCCGGCTTCCAGGAAGCCTCCAGAGGAGCCTCCTGGGCCTTCTGAGAGGGCCCCTGCCTTCTAAGAAGCCTCCCTTGCTTTCGCGGAGGATTGTATGGGGAACAATGACGTAAACAGAACAACTAGGGGGAAGCCTCCAGAGAAACCTCCCAGGCCTTCTGAGAGGGCCCCTGCCTTCTAAGAAGCCTCCCTTGCTTTCGCGGAGGGTTGTATGGGGAATAAACAATGACGTAAACATGACACCTAGGAGGTCCGCACGGCTTCCTCGGATCGGCGATGGGGCCCCCTGGCGCGCTCCGCGCGCCATGGAGCGTGGCCCAGCGCGGATCCGAGGAATCCGCGCGGACCTGCGAGTTGTTCTGCTCAGGCTGGGGAGACGTGGGACTCGGGTTGGGGGGACTCGGGGTGGCCTGGCAGAGCCGTCGCGAGCGCGGCGAGCCCCACTCCGAAGTCTGACGAGAGCTCCCGCTGCAATGCACCTCGCCGAAGCGGCGAGCTCGAGCTCTGGCAAACCCGAGTCCAACGTTTCCGGGATCGCGATTCAGCCGGTCCCCCTCGCGCCCCCCCCCGCTGTGCAGGCGGCGCGCCCAAGGGGGTGCAGGGGCGGAGGGGGGGGGCTCCTTAACCGGTGGTTCAAAAATGGGGTCCTGCGGCATGGGGTCCTCTGGACGAGGTGCCTCAGACGATGTAAGTTTACCCTTGGATCCCTTCCCATGCTTAGGACCCCATCCCTCAGGACCCCATCTGTGAACCACCGAGCGTAGAATGAGGCCGCTTCTGGGAAGGCGCCGGCCCTACACCCCCAGACAAGGCCCGCGCCTTCCAAGAAGCGGGGGGTGCTTCTGAGAAGCCCTCACTCCTCCCCCTTTTCCCCCCCCCCCCTTCCCCCCCCCCCCCCTCTGCGCGTGGCCGACAGCGGGCGCCGCCGGGTACCCGTAGGTGACGTTCGCGATCATCTTGAGGCCGAACTGCCGGGCGTCCAGGAGCCGTGCTCGGGTGTCGGCTGCCGGTCCGGGGCCGCCCTGCTTCTTCAGGTCCTTGTCCGGGGGGCGGACGGGAAGCTTTTTTCTGCACCGCGCGAGCCACCAACGTGATGCCTCCACCTTCGAGGCACCACGTCGGGGCTCGAGCCAAACCGTGCTTTTCGTGTTCGTGCCGTGTTCGTGCTCCTTCGTGGCTCGGCGGCGAGCGGGAAGGGGGGAGCGAGAGGGAGAGGGCTTCTCAGAAGGCGGCGGGGCTTCTCAGAAGCCATGCGGCCTCCAGAGAAGTTTTCTGTGTCGTCGGGGAAGGCTTAGAACACTTCTCAGAGGCCGGGGGGCTTCCGAGGAGGAGGCCCGCCCCTTCTCACTTCCCCTCCCCGGCTCACCGCGCCGCCGGGTGGTGTCTTCGTTCCGCATCTGCTGCAAAGCGAACTCAAAACGAGAACGGTGCATGACATCGCCCAAACGCCGTTCAGCCCGAGCCCTGCAATGCACTTCGCCGCTGCCACGATGCGCCGCAGCGTGAGACAGGACCTCTCGGCACCGCGCGCTGCCTCCGGCAGAAGGCCATGGCGCCAGGCCGCCAGGGAGACCAAACGAGGCGAGCCGACAGGGGGCGTAGCCATGGCGAGAGTCTCTTGGGGCCCTCTTGGCCCGTCTTGGGCCGTCCTGGGGTCTGGGGTTCGTGTGAGCCGTCTGGGTGCCTCCTGGAGCGCTCTTGGGGGTCTCTTGGGGTCCTCTGAGGGCGCTCTTGAGCGCTCTTGGGGCCCTCTGGGGCCTCTTTTGGGCCGTTCGAAAGCCCTCCGGGAGCAATTCTTAGAAGATGTCGATTCGGAGCCCCCTCCCGAGCCGATGTTTTGGGGATGCCTCGAGCAAAACGGCCATTGTTCGGACACCTATCCTGACATGATCAAGGGGGCATATCGCCATGGTGGAAAGGGCTGGCGAGCCCCTGGGGGCCCCAAGACGGCGCGAGAGCCCAGGCCGCGCGGCGACCTCGACGGCCCGCACGGTCCGGCACCGCGCACGGGCTGGGGCACCCTGGCGGCCCCAGGCGCCCGAGCCGTCCTCGGAGAACGAACCGAGTCCCAAGACCGTGCGGCCACCCCGAAATACCGAGGCTGCAGGGTTCTCACGTGGCGGGCCCTTGGAGTCGATACTCGTCCGGCTCTGTTTCGATGCTTTTCTGGGTGCTCGAAATTGTTTCTCGGATGTGGTCCTAAAGTACGACGGGAACAACATAACCCGAGTCCCAAGACCGTGCGGCCATCCGGAATCCCCAATGACCAGAGGCCTCCTAGATGGGGTCGGAGTAGATGTGGTCGGAGGATCGCCGACGCATCGCCGATGCGTCGGCGCTGCATCGGCGATGCACCGGCGACGTCGGTGATGCACTGCCGACGTCGGCGTGAAGAGACTCGGGCTCCACATCGAGCCGCATCGCCGATGCAGCAACGATGCGGCGCGATCCTCCGATCCCATCTACTCCGACCCACGTTTACTCGTCGCAGCGAGGAGGAGAAGGAGGAGGAGGAGGAGGAGGAGGAATAGGAGGAGGAGGAGGAGGAGGAGGAGGAGGAGGAGGAGGAGGAGGAGGAGGAATAGGAGGAGAAGGAGGAGGAGGAGGAGGAGGAGGAGGAGGAGGAGGAGGAGGCCCAGACCGACTCACCACGTTTTCTCGCCGCAGCGCGGCAGCAAGCGAGCCGCACGGCGCGCTCCAGAAAGGCCGGGCTCGGGCGTGCCCGGCGGCAGGCGAGGGGGCCTCGAGGCGGACGGCGGGCGCGGAGGCCGGCGAGAGGAGGCACGCGTACAACGACGACGACGACGTCCCCGCCTAGTCCTCTGGCTTGGACAGCCTGAGTAGGGGCAAAGCGGACTCGCCGCACCCGGGGGGGCCGCCGCACCGTTCGGGGCACCCCCGGCTCACGCCGCCGGCTTCTCCGGCACCTCGCGGCGCCCGAATGGTGGACGTCTCGAGGAGAGCTCCCAGCGGCGGGGTCGAAACCAGCTGCGCGCAGCAACTTTCGCGCCCACACTTCGTAAGAGAAGGGCGGGTCACAACCCTCCCAGACGAGCAGTTTCAGACCCCCTCCAGACCAGCAGCGAAAGGGCGTTCTTTTGCCCAGACCCCCATGGAGCCCTCCAAGACAGCTCCACGAAGACCCCGCTCACCAATTCAGAATACCCCTCTTGCATTATGGAATCAAGACTGGCACCCCGCCTTTTTGTTCGACTCCCGCCCGATCCTTCAAGGCACGTTTCACCATGATGCGCGTCTGCAGAATCTCAGACAACATCCGCGGCAGCACGCCGGGCTTCTTGCGACGCCTCGCAAACACGCACTCGTTCGGGAGGGCGGCGAACTCATCAAGCAACAGCGTGTCTGGCCGTCGGTAGCCGTCCATGACTCCGATCCGGGAATCGTCCTTCGAGTCCTGGAGGCGCCCGAGGCAAGTCGAGAAGCAAATGTTGTAAGCGATCCGCGACCATGCCCTCGGTAAGTTGGGGCGTGTGCTTGAGAATGCATGCTAGCTGCCCCGTAAGGCTTCTATCTTTCCAGGGGCGACCCCCCCTAACCGTAACCCGCGTCATAGATCGCCTCCCCCTCACCACGCCCCAAGCGCCCAGGCCTCGCACGCTTAGCGTGCGCTGTTCTTTGGAAGCTGACCCAATGGGTATCAGCATTCACTGAAGTCATTCTTGGAAGCGCTACTGCAGCGCCTTCCTTTCTCTCAACCTGCCCCGAGAACTACCGAGACAGCCCCTCCGTTTCGCTCCCGGCGCGAGGCGTTCCAGGCCCCACGGGGGCTCCCAGGACGCCCCAAGGTGGAGCCACCGAGCCTCTTCGTGAGAGCTCGGCAGAGCTATCTCGCCCACACCAGCCTCGAGAGGAGAGCCCCAGCAGGTCTCCCGGAGGCCCTGCTCGAGCCCCCGCTGGGCTCTCGAGAAGGCCTCAAGAGGCAGCCAACAGCCCCCCCTCCGAAACTCCTCCCGAGAGGCATCCAAGCAATCCCTCAAGAGGCGACGACAGAACCGCGCAGCGCTGCAGCCGCAGCGCCCCGCCGGAGCACGGTGGAGATGCCCCCGAGATGCCACGATGTGGCCTTACCCACCCCGCCTTTCGGGGAAGCTCGGCAGCTCGGCGGCGAGCGAAAGGGGAACATGTTCTCAGAAGGCCCGGAAGCCCCCGGCCTTCCGAGAAGTTCTCTGAGCCTCCCCCGAAGACGCAGACAACTTCCCAGAGGCCGCGAGGGCTTCTGAGAGGTCCCCCCCGCCCTCCGAGAGGGCCGTCTCCTGCCCGCCTCCCCGCCCCCCCTCGCTCGCTGCCGACTCAGCACCCCCCTCGTGCACCGCTGGCACGGCGGCGGTTGTCTCCGCAGGCGGACGGATGACGATGGAATCAGGTCGGGCATGCCCCCCATACAGGCGGAGTTTGGAGGGAAGATCCAAATTACGCAAAAACAAATGCCACAAACATGACCAAACAGATGCTAAAACATATTCGTTCCCAGAGCATTTTCCACCATGTCTGCATATATTCGGCCTGCAGAGGGACAGGCCCGACCCAACGATGGAAGGGTAGAGCGACTGGAAGTCGAGAACCACCACGGGGGCAATCAAGGGCGTGAAAAACGCCCCTACCCTGGTTGACGAGGCGCTGTGCGCTGAACCTCCTGTGGGCTGGCAGGGTAAACCCTGCACATCGCGCGTGTCGCGCGGCATCCTGGCGGCTCTCTGGCCTTCGGGAGCTCCCAGGAGGCTCACAGACCACGCACTTGTGACCCATGGCAGGGGCGTTGTTGCACCCCTCGAGGCAAAGTAGAAGCCAGACTTCGGCTCCATCACGAGCGGGAGGCACTCCGCGCCCCGCTGGGCTGCCACCTGCTCCCTCTCGGGCGACAGCAGGAGGAGGCAGCTGCGGTGCGCGGCGCGGGCGAGCATGCCCTCGACGCGGTACTGCGACCCCCGCGCCATCACGCTGAGCATGTCGATCCCCAGCATCCTCGCCGCCTCGACGGCCCTCGGCAGGACGTTGAGGGCGTCCAGGAGGCGCAAATTGCACGCCGCCTGCCGCGACACGAGCCTCAGGACCTTCGGGGATGCACAGACCTACCCCCTCGAGTAGAGCGCTGCTTCGAAAAGGCGGCCTCGGGCCCACACCTGGCGGACGCAAGCCTGGAAAACGACGGCCGCGGCGGCCTCTCGAGAACCGAACACGGACAATTCACGGATGGACGTGTCAGGGTAGGAGGTCCTGTCCACCCGCGGGACCTCCGCGCGCGCGTGCTGCCCGCCCGACCTCCACTGCTCTGCGAGCCTCTCCGGCGGCACCAGCGGCAGCGTCTCGCCCAGCAGCTCCTGGGCCGCCGTCTGCAGGGAGCTCGTGGGCAGCTTCGCCTCCCCCCGAAGCACCCGCCAGACGTTGAGCACGATGCGGCCTGGCAGCTCTACCCCGCCGCTGACCAGCTCTGGCGGGTACAACTTGCGCGGCCCACGGTCGGGATTGGCAGCCTGCGTCGCCCCCGCCTCCCCAGAGTCCTGAGGGGACGCGTGAGACTCGAAACTGGGGGACTCGAGCTGGACTGACGCGGCCGTCAGCACACTGACGGGGCACGGCCTGAATTCTCTGACGCGAGCTCCCGCCGCAAGCCTCCCACGAAAACTGGACCGCCGAGATCCGTGCCAGGACCCAGACCCCCGACGTCATGATTTTTTCAGAACGTCAGTCCCCAGAGGTCCCGACCCACTCCCCAGGACCCCTTCTTCGTCCCGAGCCGTGTTTGGACGGTCCCGAGGCCCGGGAGGAGGAGGAGGAGGAGGAGGAGGAGGAGGAGGAGGAGGGAGGGAGGAGAGGAGGAGGAGAGAGGAGGAGGAGGAGGAGGAGGGGGAAGGGCCCCCGGAGGCCGACGAGAGCGACACACCGCCCGTCGTGACTTTTGTCACGGCTCGAGGGGGCCGGGGATCGGCACCGCAGCGGCGGCGAACCAGAGTTCCTCCGGCAGCCCCGCGCCTTCCCAGGGC